ATAATACTGGTATAATAATTACTATATACCTACTTTTGCAGCTACTATATTTATATAAAATATAGAGAGACCTCATATCAAATATATATATATATATATATATATATATATATATATATATATAGAGAGAGAGATATATAGAGTGAGCCAGGTACTACTTACCAAGGTTTCACCACATGGGATCATCAGGGTAAACTGGCTAAAGAGGAATTAACGAGGAACGAATCTTAATTATTATAAAACGCAGATTGTGTGTGTGTGTGTCTGTACGTTTATATATTGGATTGGATTTCCTACATTTTTCAACCGATTTCAACAAAACTTCACAGGACTGCGTAAAATTACCTTGTGGTGGTTCTGACAGCGCCAAAAATTGGAAAAACACAATTGTTTTGCATGAAATCAATTTGAAAACACAATAAAACACGATTCTGTCACCAGAATGGAAGGGAGACAACTCATATCGAGTTATACTTATAAAACCCAGGTTGTGTGTGTGTGTTCCTTTATATATGGGATTGGATTTCCTATATTTTTCAACCGATTTCAACAAAACTTCCCTTTTTTTTTGGCATGTAGTGTTTCTTATTGTCTTGCACACTTCTTTCTTTATTTTTACATTCAGAATGCTTTAAAAATTCAATTTACAAGACAATTGTTTATAATAAAATTCTATTCAATCGGTAGACTCATAAAGATTGAAAACAATGTTTTTGTTTGAGTTTGGGTTTGACCAATTCGTAAAAAAAAAAAAAAAAAAAAAAAACTAATTAAGACATGCATATCTGTCAACCTTAAACAATAATCTTTGTCAATTTTATTTTCAGTCTTTATGATGGTCGATACTTGATCTATCTCTTACTGTTACACCCCCGGGCAATGCTGGGCTCTACTGCTAGTATATTGATAAAATTATTGCTAGAACCAATAGTTTATCAATAAATTTGTTCCTCGCTAAATCCTCGACTAGGTTAAAATAATGTTTTGGAGGTAATCATGATTTACGGATATACATCCTTACTCATTAACCCATAGCTGGTGGAGAAGAGTTGGATTCATACCTCCCCCCACCCATCGTATCTGCGCGTAAGTGAATATAACGATTGCAACTGCAACTCAGCTCTTTGATCTCCAATGCCGATCCGTTATCCATTACATCACACACACCCAAGCTTACAGCACCTATTATTCCCGACCGGTCGCCCATCTAGGTAATGACCAGGCTCGACGTTGCTTAACTTCGGTGATACGATGTTTCAACGTGATATGGCTGTAGGCCTCCGATATGATAAAAAAAAGATAACAATTTTCAACATATAATATATGAAGAAGCAGATAACAATACTAGTATTGTTGGAAAAATGGCATGAAACCGCCTAGTGGCTTCCATCGCCAAGGAACATAGATTGAAAAAACTTACAAATGGAAACCGGGAAAGTTAATTAAACTATTGTAAAATATAAACATAGACAAAATCACTAGATTGAAACTCTTAAGTGATGCAGGAACAAATGTTATTACTGAAATACAGGGTGTTCCAAAAGTCTTAGGAACATTTTGACATTGAATATCTCGAAAATTATTAAGGATATAAAAATGCGCCTGACATATTCTGAAAGAATTTAATCTCAAGTTTTACATGGAATGTTCAAAGGTGTTCAATGTGAGCACCATTGGCCACACGGCACACATTAAATCCGTCATCTTCCAACTTCTCTTGCATTACAATGCAAAAGTCACGACGAGCTGGTTTATCAGTGTCCTGCAACTGTTGGGTTAACTGTAGCTCGTAAGGTGTCATGCGCAGTCGTCTTTTTAAAACATTACAAACAGTTGTGGTAGGAAGCTGAAGTTCTTTACTGGCTCTTCTGATCGATTTACGGGGGCTCCGCTCGAAAGCAGTTTAAACTCGCTCAACCGTATCATCTGAAGTTGAGAGGCGTCCCGTCTTCTTAGCTGGGCACAAACACCCATCCTTCAGGAATTTACCATGCCATCTCAATATGGACTTCCTTTCTGGTGCCTCTTTTCAGAATTTTGTGCGAAATGCACGTTGAACATGTGTCCATGATTCATTTTTTGCGGATTCAAAGACGCAAAACGCCTTTTCTGGTTGATTGAACGCCATTACTGGATCTGAAAAAATATAAAAAATCATTGGCATTACAAAAAAAAACTTAATGAATTTAGCTTTAAAATTCAGCAGATATGAGGACTTGAAATGTTCCCAAGACTTCTGGAACACCCTGTTTTTACCGTTTACAAAATCAAAAAGATCCAGAAGTATAAAGGTGCCAACGTAAATTAGAGGGGGGAGAGACGTCTGAAGCAAATAAATTTGCATAGATATATGAAATTAAGAAAAATGTAAAAATTAAAAATTGATTGATTGATTAAAAATTGATTGACCTGATTAGATCTACGGCCTATCGACATGTTATTCAATGCCAAAAAAATATTTTACATTGTAACAATTATTTCTTAGAGAATAATACTTTAGCGATACAAGTTTTACTAATTAACTCAAAGATGGTGAGAAATGGCGGTTCCATACCTTTCCCAGGCGTATTTGTACATAAGTAAATATAAGGAACCCCGGCAAGAACTGAAACTCGACTCTACGATGAACAATTCCAAGCCTTTATCACCTATCTAGGTACTGACCATGCTCAATGTTGCTTCACTTCGGCAATCGTACTGGAACCGATAATTCACCGTAATTTGGCCATAAAATTAGAAACTACTAAAATATGGTGAACTGGGCCAACCTAAATTATATGAGAATAAAATCGAAATCTCTGAGGAATATAAGGTTCGGTACCGAATGTTCCATAAATGTTTAATATCATGTTCCTTTCTTGGGAAAGCTAGTGGAATATTTTCTCGTTTTCCTTCTATTAGACAGGTTGCTAGACATGGCTTGGGAGCCCAGTCTACCCTATTGTTTAACCGATAATTAGGGCAGGGAAAAAGAAATTGTTTTTACCCACTCCCCGGGCATTTGTACGAAAGTGAAAGCAATAGAATAGTCATGGTTTTGAAACTCAGATCGGCGATTCCACTTTGCACACTGACAGCAGTTACAGTTCCTGCATATCCTGTTTCGTCTTTAAGAAAGTTAATTTTGAAAATAGTTTAATGGAGGAACAATTGCGAAAAACTCGTCTACCTGATTCATCAAAAATTAAACTTTTCTCGGGGTGTTCATGAAGAATACCAACCGTAAGAATAATCCCCCTGAGATTGGAGAGAGATACAGTACAGAAATAAAGCAATATATCTTAAGAGGAATTCTTACAAAAACAAAAAACAAAAGTGCACAAGGTCGTGATGAAATTCATACACTCAAAACAGTTTAACTATTGCCCAAATGTTTAACGGAAGCTAGGATTTGCAAGCGATTAGCAAAACGAGAAACTACTCTGATCGCATAACTTACGCAGATTACATTAGAGCTTTAGCTAAAGATAAATAAAAGAGTTAGAGATCTGACACAAACCCTCTGAAATGTCATTCAAGTAATCGGAATGAAGTTCAGAAACTCGAAATGCTGATTATGCACAATGCCAAAACAGAAACCAAAAGAGAAATTAACCAACCATGAAAACATCAGAAGTCCAAACGGGAAAGAGAACAAAAAGTATCTCAGAATGCCGGAAGTGGATTCAGTCAAGCGGAAGCAAATGAAAGAAAACCGTAAAAGAACATTAAAAAAAAAAAAAAAGAAAAGAAAACACTGGTAAAGAAAGAAAAGAGTCGCAATAAAATCAGAGGAATTACTTCGGCACTTGATGCACCTGATTTTACGAAACGAGACGAGTCCCGTGGAGGGACATCAGTGATCAAGGTTTTTGTTCTCGCGAGGATTTCGAAGATAATACATTCCTTTTTTTTTCTCACGGATTAATCCTGACCAAACCTGGAGAATGGATCAGTCAAACCGCCAATCAATGTAAAAGAAGTTATTTGACTGTCCGAATCATGTTGGATATGATCAAAGAAATAATTGCATAGTCAGTAAATATTCAGATATATTCTTTACCTTTCTAGACTCGACTACAAAAGAAACAAAAAAAAATGAAGAAAAAAACCAGAGTGGTGATGACAATTCATTAAACCTGGAACTGAAGACATAATGTGGATAGATCCTATGTAAAAAGGAGAAAGATTGGAAAAGAACCCGTCAGGATTTAATTTTGTGGAGACACTTCTATCAAGTGATATGAGTGAAGAATGATTTGTCATGACAGTCAAAATTGGCAACGAAATAGATCTCAAACCGATAATCGAAAATGGGAAGGAAAACATAGCAGAAAAAGCAAATCAGATGACATGAAGATATATATACTCATTCCCTATTTGTGGTAGCCTAGAACAATTCGGTAATATCTGCCTTAAACTCACAACAGCAAAAATTCAGTCTATGAGACCATATAATAGTCTAATACAGAAAGTAGATTTGGGTACCTCGAGGCGGTGTAATAGTTAACAAGCTTGTCTCGCTAGAACCACTGAGTAGTGAGTTCGATTCTCACTGTGTGCCCCCTACTTTCGGCCTTGTGCCACATCTAAGCTACGCTTGGAAAATCATTGAGTTTTTCTCGCTAGAACTATACCAACTGAGTAGTGAGTTCGATCCTTACTGGGCGCCCCCTACTTTCGGCCCTGTGCCACATCTAAGCTACGCTTGGTAAATCACTATGACTGGTTAGGAAAAGTAACTCACCATGCCCTATGCAAACTATAGACCATGGGTATTAAAGGTATATGCACAAATTAGAGCTCTCGTAGAAAATGAAAGTTGATGAAGTAGAAAAAGAATAAGCGAGTCGAGGTCAGATGACCAAATTTTATCAGTGTAAACAAAGTGGGGTGGGGGGAATAATATGTCACGATGTCAACATTACTACTTCATCTAACCATGGAGTAAACTTCGGAGAAGCTATAAAAAATAACAAGACCATGCGAAGACAATGGTATAGAACTTTAAGATGATGCTTATGCTGTCAAAGCTATCTATCTATCTATCTATCTATCTATCTATCTATAATCCGATGTATGTATCTATCTATAGACCGATGTATGTATGTGTGTATGTATGTATCTTAATTAGTCCATTTTTATCGACATTGATCAGTACATATCTAAATCTCTCAGTCCATACCTATCCAAATTAATATATATATATATATATATATATATATTTAATCGGTTCATATCTATCATACTGAATTCATGTCTATTTATCTCAATCAGTGAATATTTATCTATCTATCAACCTAATACAATTCTATGTTATATATTCTCAATCAGTTCATGTGTCAATCAATTCATATCCGTATATCCTAACCAGTTCGTATCTATCTTTCTCAATCATTTTATATCGAACTCAACGTTAGTATATATGTGTTTGTGTATGTGTATCTATATTAATATCTATCTCAATCAGTTCATATCTATCTATATGTCTGTCTCTCTCTCTCTCTCCCTCTGTATATATATATATATATATATATATATATATATATATATATATATATATATATATATATATTAATGAGTTCATCAACAAATAGTTCATATCTAAAATAATGTGAGATGAAAAACTAATTATATTGCTTATATATTCAAACCGATAAAAATTATTCTTCACCTGATGTATATGGTTATTAAACTTGATATAATACTTTAAAGATTAATGATTGTTGGTAATTTTTGCTTCATGCTTTTTTCATCTTTTCAGTTGTAAGATGAATTTGACCAACCGTAAATGATGCTTTGAAACTCCTCAACATGTCTGTACAGGATGCAGAATAATAGCAATCTGCACAGAAATAATAGCAGCATCAATCTTATTAGTGATAAGATTACAATTTACAATATTTAATAGTAACTCGCAAAGATAAAAATAATACTTCAACATAAATGTTCCATACAAGTCGTTCGCCCCGGTGTTTTGGCCATTGTTTTCATTTTATCCATACGTTGAGCTCCTGATTCTCCAAATGATCCGTTTGAACTTGGCATCACAGGGTTACATTCCTGAAAAACCAATTTTATCTTAGTGTTTAATGGTTCCTGTAAGCAGTTAATCTCAATATTTTTCGACTTCTCCAATCAAGATTCGACATTACACAAAACAAGGCACATTTGTGGTCGGCCAAACTGTGATATATGACCGAGATGTTGTGATGCAAGAAAGATTAATAAAAATTAATTCAGATTAACATATATAGCATTTTCAGAACACTTATTCTAAAAGTTTAGTTTTTAATCAATTATTTTTTAGTAGACGAAAATATTCAGAGTGAATTTACAATTTGAATTAAGATACCTTTGGTAAATGACCATTTTCACGTATGAATTTTAATTTTAAAATTCGCAGACAAACTGATACCATAAACAGTTTAAAAAAATGCCGCGAATTTTAAAATTAAAATTGTACGTGAAAATGGTCATTTACCAAAGGTATCTTAATTCCAATTGTCATATATATATATATATATATATATATATATATATATATATATATATATGAACCACTGTGTAAATGTATATATATATATATATATATATATATATATATATATATATATATATATATATATATATATGAACCACTGCTCTGTGGAACCAACTACCATGAAGATGTTTCCCTGATCACTGAATCTTAACCTGTTCAAGGCTAGGGTTAACAACTCCCACTTCTATCTGCATAAATTGCTTTGTAACGTAACCCTCTAGTTCGAACCTTACTATATATATATATATATATATATGTGTGTGTGTGTGTGTGTGTGTGTGTGTTATTATTAAAAACGACAGATATTTCACTGATCAACGTTTACAAATCGCAGACGCGGAGGAAATTTAGTAAAAATTGTCTGAAGTTCATTTTGGAAGAATATGGCTTAGGTTTTGACTTTCAAAAAAAGACATCTACTACCCTCACAGTCAAGCTTACAACAACTGGTGTTCCCAAGCGGTCACCCGACTAGGTACTGAACAATTTTGACGTTGCTTAACTTCGGTGATCGTACGGGAACCATATAGATATATTGATAGATATGTATTGCGAGAGATGCAGATAAAAAGAGAAATTGAAAATACACAGAAGATTAAATATAAGCTTCCATAAAAAGAAAAAAAAAACAGTAAGTTCTAAAAAGTTATAGGAAATGCGCAAGATGCAGAATTTGAAACGAGTAAGGTAGAAAGGGTGAGGGATAAAGAGAGAGTAGAAGAACGACCAAAATAGAGATAAAGAAAGAATGATTCAGCGATCGATGTTCGACGGATAAATAGATAGCGTTAAGTTGGAAAGAAAGAAAGAACGAGAATGAGGGACTAGAAAATAAAAAAAAGAGCGTAAAAGAGGGAAGTTGATGTTTTTCGAGGCATGTCATTCAATTGTCCCAGCTGAGAATAAAATGAAATAAAATAAAAGCTTCTGCTTAGTTGTTCCGGGTTTTGTTGGAAGGATGAAGGCGGGCAAGAAACGGCATTAATGCGTTCAAGCATTGAAAGGTCAACCAGATGGCTTTGATCATTTCAAAGGTCACGTCCAGGAGAAAAAAAAATTGCGATGACAGACCATATTTTTTAACGTCAGGGCTTTCTGCTTGCATTCGGTTACCATTATTAGCGTTGCTGTTGTCGGCGATGGTGATTGTAGTGGAGGAGGTGTTGCTTTGCTGCTGCCATTGACTGAAGAAGATGGAGAGGGAAAACGGAAAGCGAAAGTTTAGAATTAAAAGAAAAATGAAAATAGTATGTTATGTTGTTTCTCTTAATAGTTTTAATTCCCCCCCTTCTTCTTGGATGCTTTCCCACAAAAGTTTTTCGATGGCGCTTACTACGATTAAGTGACAGTAAGTCTTTACTACTACTACGACAGAACTCTCTTCAACACTACTGTATTGTCCCCAGTATTTCATTTAATTTCACTATTACTACTTGTTGCCGGAATCACCTCTTTGGTTGTGAGGTGAGAACGTTTTTTAGTAAATATTTACATCTCCTGGGACATTTCACCAGCATACAATATTTGGCGGAAAAAATGAACAAATACAAAACATGGAATTTAAAACAAACTAGTATTAATGCATTTTATTAACAAAAGGATGTACATGTATCCACAATTGTAATCAAAGGAATAAACATTAAAACTAGCTCCAAGAATGTGCTTGATTATGTATGGTACACACGTGTGCGCATGCTGATTTTCAAAACGCTGCTTAGATGTGACACAAGGATGACAGTATGGGGCGCTCAGTGAGTATTGAACTCACTACTTAGTCGTAATTAATCTGGCGAGACAAGTTTGACCTCTATTACACCACGTCGAAGTGCCCCACACGTGTGCGTATGTGCGTGTGTATATAGAGCTCAACAGGAACCGAACACGTCCCGGCGGGCGTTCAATTCTACGGTCTTCTACATCTTGGAGCAAGGAAAAAGAAAAGGAGAACGCCCTTTTATATGCTTAATTAGCGCCTCTTAACGGGAGTTTTTGGCGAAATCAAGTTGGATAACCTAAATATTAAACGAGTATTTTTAATTCTTCTTCGGATCTTTTTGTCTTTTTCCGTTTTTTGGGTTTTTTTTTAGAATCGTTCCAACCGACCCAGTAATGCACGGATCCATTCGCTTTGACATTTGTGTTAGTTCTAAAGGAAAACTGCTGTTTTATACAGCTATGCAATTTAATTTTGCAATCTGCTGAAATGATTATATACATGATGAATGTCTTTGCTTTGTTCATGGTGATTCGAATTGGTTTGTATTCACTGGCATTTTTATACTATTAATAACTGGTGACATAATGCCGGGTCATCAGCAAAAGTGACAGCACAAATTGTAAGCTATATACAGGAGATGTCAAAATTAAGCATGTACAGAAATATGACTGTATGACTAATTGTAGCAACAGAGGAGTGATAGGTTGATACAAAACTCTGAAGAAATAGATAATAGCGAAAGATGTCCCCCAGAAAGTAAACAATTTATTAGAGACCGGAAAATGTCTTTAGAAACCTAGAAAAGAGTGCTGAACTGTCATGTAACATCTAAATTTCTATATAGCAGTGAATATTAGACAATATCCACAGATAAAGAAAAGACTTGAAGCAATGTGGTTCTAGCAACGAATCCTGAGAGTACTATGGACAGAATATGTGATCAACGAGGACGTTTTACGAAAAACAAGAATTCAAAGGAACTGATACTCAAAATCAGAAAAATGCGGTTGGAATTTCTGGAACATATAATGAAGAAAGAGGTCTTCAAGAATTTAGCACCCACGGGGAATACTAATAGAAAGTGAAACAGTGAGGCACCAACTAAATGAATTTGATTGAATAGATAGATAGAAAAATAAAGATAAAAAAAGCAAGGTAAAGAGTCAGACGTTACGTGGGGCAACAAAAAAAGGAAGTTGTAGAGATTCATGATCGTCGACGTCTTAAATTAACTGGTAGACTGTGGCTTACTGCCATATCACGTTGAAACACCGATTGTCGTAAGATCACCGATATTATCAACGTCGAAACTGGTCAGTACCTAAATGGTTAAACGCTTGGGAATAACAGGTGCTGTAAGTTTGGGTGTGCGGATGGTGTAATGGATAACGGCACAAAATTGGAAATCGGAGAGATGAGTTCGCGTTCCAGTCGGATTCTTTATGTTTACTTACGTGCAAATACCCTTAGGAAAGATATGAATCCATCTCTTCTAACCCCAGCTATAGGTTAATTAGTAGGACTTGTATCAGGAAATAATTATTATCTAAAAAAATTCTTACAATCTAAAATATTTTTCTAGTTTTAAATAAAGGTCGATAAACCGTAAAAAAAAAAACAAATCACTAAGTAACTGGTTGATTTTAAAAATTAATTCAAATGTTAAGTTATTTCCTCTATTCATTTTTTAGTCTGATGACTAATTCTAGTAATGATGTCTTCTGGAAGATTATGATTTCTCCATACTTAGATTTTCAATTCTTCTTACCATTTTCAAGACTGTACCAAACGCAGTTGTTAAGCTGATACGTTCATTCTATAAATGTTATTTATTACAGCCTTAACACCCAGGTTATTTCAATATTAATTACTATTATAGTAAGAATCAATACGTATAATTCAAATACTTGGAACATCGTAGTGCACAGCCTTATACTGTATCAGTATCGATTTCTTTTTTAATTCATTGAGCACACGGTTATTGATTCATAGCGAAGTGAACAAAATGGACGATTTTTTAAAAACTTTATAAATTATTTTTGTATTTTTGTTTAGAAATGAACAAAATAAAACCTATCTTTTTCAGAAAAGGAAAATTAATAATATTTCGTTATAATGTATTCATCTAACTCTGTAAGGTTTATGTAATCGCGTGTGCTTTTATTAAAGTCTATATTTTTCGTGTAAATCTCCAATTCTTTTGCAAGCATCGGAAAATCCACATTTAAGAAGTCTTTTCAGCCAATAACAATGCCTGATTGTGCAGGAATTTCTAAAGCCGAACGTTTAAGTGTTCTTCATGTTTTATGCTTTCTTTCCTGAAATTTGCTTACGTCAGATTTGATGGATAATTATTCCGATCCACGAAGATATAAAAATCAAACGATACAAAGAAAGTTTTTTTTTCTTTCTCTTTCTGAATTTGTTAACAGAGTAAAAGGGAATTAGAATTCATGTGTCTGGTGCAAAGGTCTCTTTCTGGTGACGAACTGAGCTTACTGTTCGTGGACGAATAAATTAGATTTTGGCAATCGACAAACATTCGTTCAAACGTTATCAGTTTATTTTTAGGACAGATATATATCAGCCATCATTTTTTTCTCTACCATGTCGAATTAATCCTATTTATGACCATACATATTTGAAAACGTTATTTTAAGTATTTTTATATTTCAGACAACGATCATATTGAATAAATTGATCAAAATAATACCACATTTCTTCAGTTATTGTAAATTTTAACTGAAAATACAGATTAAGAATTTTGCATATCTCAATAAACATGAACAAATGACTATTGACGAGTATCGATCTAAGGATTTATAAGGCAAACTTATTTAGCAATTTATCTTGTAAATTTGTGTTATTGCTTGTTTTCTATGAAAGGGCAATTTGAAAACTGATATAATTTTTCTATCTACATGCCACGTCACTTCAAGATGTAAGCAATTATGGTTCTCCACAGATTCCTTTCCTTTATTTTTCTTAGATTAAACGACAAAAGTTCAGATTATATTCACTTTGTGCAATGCTTGAATTCTCTCTCTCTCTCTCTCTCTCTCTCTCTCTCTCTCTCTCTCTCTCTGAATACTATGTCATTTTAGGATGTAGATGATCAAAGCCCTCTACAGCTTCCTGGGGAGGCTACGTGACTTGAGAGACTATTGGGGCTTAAACACACCCCTGACTTCAAGTGGAATCCATAAATACGATCCATCGCTAAAGATGCAGGAAAAATCTTTGGTTCACTGCACCTGACCCCTGGTGTTATCCTCTACCGTTGCAAGAGCTATATCCGCCCTAAAATGTTGTCTTATTTGGGCGCGAGCCGTCCAGTCCTAATTTCCAGTCCCGATAGACTCCAAACGAGTCTCAGAGTCCTTCTAGATGACAAATTATTTTCCACCCTCCAAACTCTTTCTCACAGGCGGAATGTGGCAAGCCTCTCACTGCTCTATTGCTACTTCTATGGTAAATGATCTGACGAACTTCATTTCTTGGTTCTGCCTGTTCTAACTTTCACGGCCATGATTCACTCACATTGTAGCAAACCCCACCCACAGTCCCCCACCGTATTCCATTGGCGAGAAATAAATTCCATTCGAACAGCTTCTTCTCGCCAAGACCACTTCTATGCGGAATCGACAACCAAGAGAATTACAATACTAACCTGTTCAAGTCTAGAGTTAACCGTTATCTCCCCTTTTTATCTGCATAAACTTGTTCTTATTGTAACCCTCTACATTGAGTAGTCCCCGGAATTTGTACAGAGTAAACCTCACTGTAAAAACAAAAATAATTTATTATCTTTGATTGCTATACTTTCTTGGAAAAGATAGCGGAGTGGTTTCCCGTTGCATTCATCATGATTTTGCATTCAGTGTTTCTGTTCTAGAATGGTTGCCACACAAGACGAGATTCCAGACAGCCCTACTCCCCCTGCATTTCAACTCATTGCCGCGGGAGAAGATATGGATAAATGCCTAAACGCCAAATCAGTGAGCTGAAATTTGAACTCGGATCGCCGATTTCACATTCTGTGCCAGTAACTGGTGTCATATGTAGCTCATCACAGTGGAAGAATAAAATTTGGATTCAGTGTCCTTCAGAATAGCCAGATGCAAGGTTAACCAGAGAATTGGCATGCCTGGCGGCAGTGGAGTTCCGGAATTCACCGGACGTCAGTGGCGATTCCAACAGGAGGACACGTGTCGACTTAGAAGCGCCTGATATATGCTTGGGAAAAAACCGTTGAATACTCAGCTATATAATCACCCACACTAGTGAGGCAATGGAGAAAGATCGCAGACAATAATGTAAGGCCCACGTCCAGAAGAGCACTCCATAGTCACACACACACATACACACACACACTGAGTGACTGACTGACTGCAACAGGTAAATTAAAGGAGTTGAATAAAATTAAGTCCCATATCTCAGCACCACAACAGCTTTATAACACCGGTATGCTGTGCTAAATGAAATATGATACTAATTCCATGTTGGGAGATTTTTTATAGAAGACGGTTTAAGCGAAGTCTCAATCTTAGCCTATTTGACAGCGCGGTTATAACACGTTGTCCTTCTTTTGAAGACACTGCCATTGTAGAATTACAATCATATTTCTTCTAGCACGGCTTAGAATTATTACTACTTCTACAAAATAGAACTTAGAACATAAAACAAAGGAAAACATATTAACAACGAACCCCCTTGAAAACAGCAAATCAATTGGCTGAAAGCGCTTGGGGCAATAATCCCTATAGACAGTTTCTATATTCAATTAGTCCCAGAAAAGAACACTGGAAAAATTTCATGAAATACTTATAAAATTTTCCTTGCCACTCACTTTCAACGAAGCACACACACACATACACATATATCTTTTTATGTGGCGGATTTTTCATTTATTTATGACATGCTTTAGGAAACGAAACTGAGCAGAGATATATATTTTTAGAATCGGGAAAGGTCTGCATTCAAAAGCACTCTTCCATCTTTGCTTGCCCAGTAGATTCCATCTAATGACGGTTTCCCCTAAGGGGATGCAGGATCGAATCCTATCGAAGAACGCATATTTTTTTCTAATAAGAATTCTCAAATATTCAGGACGGTAGATGGAAATAAAAAAATATATATACCGGTTAATAAATAAATATTATTTGCTCAATATCTACTTAAATGTGGATATCCACTAAAAATAACGCTTAAGCAATATATATATATATATGTGTGTGTGTGTTTAAAATTTCGGGGTATATCTCTGAACGGCGATATGAATAAAAGACAAAAGGAAAACTTATTTTATCTGACGTTTTTCGTCCTTTGAGGGACTTTATTAAGGCAAATGGAAGGATTTTATTTTGTAATAAGTCTTTATATACAAGAGAAAAAATGTTATTTTTTTTTAAATTTCGTTTATTAGACATTGAATTGTGTCATTTGTCGTCCTCCGTAGATTGTAAGAATATTTCAGTTTTAAATAATCCACAAAATGTTGATAATCCGCAAAAAATACAAATCATTCAAAAGGATTTATATGCGTGTAAACTGTGGGCGCATGGCCAAGTGGTCAGCTTTCCGGCCATAAGATACGAGGGCGAATCGTATCATGTTCGATTTGTCTAGGAGGTGGCTTCTTGAAAACCATAACACGTTTTGACCCAACCCTTGTGTGTAAAACTGGATAGACATAACTGTTCGGATACCCGTAATGGTTCTGTGAGCACGAAGCCACAAGTCACAATGACTGAATTATAAGTATTCTGGATTTGTTGATAACGCCAGATTAAGCGCTCCTTCAGTAATTGTAACTAAGTTTTGCTTAGTATAGCTGCAGAATAAATCAACGTTTGGTGCTGCGGCTGTTGAAGAAACACAAATATGCCTGTTCAATTATCTGCAACAGGGATTACCTAGCCCTATTAGCAGACACGTATACTAAGTAACCAGAAACGTACAGTTATCATCTCAACGTTAATTACCGCATTTATCTTATTAAAATCCAGGTATTTTTTTTTTATTGCTAACATAGTATATCTTATTCATTATAAATTTAAATATACTTAGACGTATTATTTACAAAAAGATACATAATTTCACAATTTGAGAGACATAACACTTTATAAATCTCAAAATGAAATAATTAAAAATATTTAGTTTTAAACTTTACCATCGATGTTAAATTTCGGTCTTGTATTTATTCTTTACTGTTGAATTTCGAAATTGTACCACCTGTTCCCTTTTCACAGGGATATGTTTATACCATTTGTCCATGCTATCTTGAGTACCTTGAGGAACTTGCTGAAATACAAAGAAGAATCAGTAATATTGTTGACTCCATCTGGAGACTCGGCTTCAGTCACTTTCCCAACTTTTCTATAAATATGTTCATGGTAATTCTGATGAGCTCTTCGCTATGACACACAGACTCTTCGAATTTAAGCGCATTAAGAGGTCTCACCAATTTACAGTTGAGTTGGTTAGATGTAACCGTAGATTCTGTGCTAACAGTTTATTTTCCCGCATGTTTCGCTTGTGGAATTCCCTTTCGGCTCGATGTTTCCTGCAAAATTTAAATGCAATGGCATTCGCTATCTGCAGTCCTACTGATTAATCTTCCTCTTCTTTTTTCAACAAACTTCCACACCCATTAACCCCTTGTGCCTCTGTGATTTTACTGCCTTGCTTAGGGTAAACTCACATATATATATATATATATATATATATATATATATATATATATATATATATGCTAATCTAGAAAATGTTACTGAATAAGGAATAACCAAAACTGAGGTTGGAAATGAAATGGTAATCTTTATAACAGCAACAAAATACAATACTCGCCAGCGGAGTGAAGTAGGTAAACCACTGCTAGTGGTGGACTACTTACGCAGTATGTTATCCCTCACTTACGATATATATATATATATATATATATATATATATATATATATATATATATATATATATATATATTAGTATAATAAGTCTGATGTGCTTGATAAGGTCATATATTAACAGCTCATCTCAAAAATGACTTACACTCGGTTGTTAACTGGGACAAGGAATGGCTTGTTATTTTTAATGTCTCCAATATGAAACTGCTCTCTGTTAATTATCTCTCTATTTATCACTATTTCTAGCTTCCATCAGCATAAGAGTGACTCATTGCGACTTCTTATTTGTTTTCTTTTTCAAAAATAATATTGTGTAATATTTCTGAAATAAGACAATTTGTCCAAATCTCACACTCACAAGCAATATTGATGGAATATATTGTTTTATCAAATTTGTTTCATTTCCTCGATTTTGAATGTTCTTTCCAGAATGAAAAGAATTGTGCAATCTTTGACACGAGACTCTACTGGGAACAGTGAATTGATCCCGCAAATGGGATGAAAGACAAAATTGGACTCGTCCTACTAAATGTGCAGATTGCGTGATGAAGATTATAGTGTTTGACAAATTGTTGCACAAAAAATGTAAATAAATTCAGAAAAGCTATCAAAATTTCAATTTATTGACAATTTTGTTATGGAAAAATAAATTTTTCAGTATAATTTTCAAATTGATAATTTAAGTATTCTTCATACTACAAATATATAAACGATTTTTAGAGATTTATTTATTTGAGATTACTTCAAGTTGTGAGACTTCAAAATCAAACAGATATAGAAATTTCGCTATCTGCCGAATGTAGTAAAAAACGAGAGGCAGTGTGACATAAAATTTCGAAAAGGCAGAAGATTAACGAAAAGTATCTTAGAGAAACGATACAAATTATTAAAACATAAGAAAAGGCTGGTGATGGGCTGCGTTTTATCTCCTATATGGCAATGAATGCTGAACAATTTCCTCATAGAAAAAAAAAAAACTTGTAGCAAAAAGATTTGGCTTTAACTGCGAATACTGAAGATAACATGGGGTGAACATGAGGGAAAAGCGTACGATCGACAAAGAAAAGTGATATTTATTACTATAAAATACTGATGAAATTTCTAGTGCATATAATGAAGAAAGACGGCCTGGAGAATATTATACTCACATGGCATATTGAAAACAAATGAAACGGAATAAACTGCTTGTAAGTTTGTGTGTATAGATGACAGAAAACAAAAGAAAGGCGATAAAGGATCAAAACCAACTTAGAACAAAGAAAGGAAGTTGTGGAGAGCCATTATCGTTCACATCTTGAAAGCATATGGTATGTAGAAAAGAACCGTCATTCTAAAGTGGAAGTTTGTCAGATTTCATAGATTAAGCAAAGTTTAATTTAGTTACCAATACCACTGTGTAACACAATTTCATTTTTTTTTTTTTTTTTATTTTTTTGGCTTTGGTCAGTAAGTGTTATTTTTTAATTGCTTTATTCTAGAAAGTAAAGAATATGACTATTCTCTCCCTTCAAACTTCGCTTTTTTGCCACAACGGACCAAGTTCCATGTGGGGGAAGATCAACACCAAATAGGAGCAACTGTTAAACCCCCGGAAAGTATTGTTTCCTCCACTATACTTAAAATTGGGCCGTATGAAGCAATTTTCACAGATCTAGATAAGGAGTCTACAGCCTTCAAGTACCTTTAAAACTACTTCCCTCAGCTGTCTGCATCAAAAGTCAAAGCCGGTGTCTTCGTCTAGCCACAAATAAAGAAGATCATAAAGTGAAAGAAATTCCGCAAGAAGCTCACTAGGACGGAGAAAACAGCATGGAGCAGCTTTGCCTCAGTGGCTAGGAGATTCCTGAGGAATCACGAGGGAGAAAATTATGTGGAGCTTGTTGGAACCATGGTGAAGAACTAGTGTAAAATGCACTGCTAGGAGTCAATATCCTTGATGTTAAATTCAAGGAGAACATGGTGTCGTACTCAGAGGAGCAAGTCGAGCGCTTCCACCAGGATATACTAGACTTTGAATATTTTGAAGTTGGACAGAGGAAAATAACGCATAACCTATCGAGAGAGCTTGAATAAATGGATGGAGGAACAAGGTTTAGGAGAGATAACAAATGGACAATATTTATTAAGAGCTACAAAGGACAGGAAATTGTAGAGCTATGATCGCCAACGTTCTAAAGTAATTTACAATATAAGCGTAAATCACGAAAAACTACTCACTTGTAATTTTGTTGTGGTCTTTCTTGTGTAATCCTAGAAAAAATAAATGCTACTTTCGAATAATATGTAGTTTAGTTCCTACTTTGCGTGAAAGAGAATGTTTACATTTGCCAGTTTTCCTAAGGGGAATAGGTCAATTACAGAAATATCATTATTCTGTTTGCAAAAGTAAAGTTTGAAGGAATATATATCATTTTTCATACTTTCTAGGCATAAGCAAAAAGGAAATAATTGTTGCAACCCCCAAATCGAGAAATACAGTGAAATCGATGTCCAGATATATGCCTTGATATATGGCAATGGTAATATTAACATTAACATTTTACTCATATGGAAAACTTTGCATTGAACGAAAAGCTAATTCTACTCTCTATTGAAATTTATAAAATCTTTCTATTAAAACAATATTTCAGGAAAATAGGTTCCTCAAGTTCAGTAACTGTTATCGCTCTTTTCAGTACTGATGAAGAGCTTCCTCCCTTCTTTTATTTGTAATAGTTCGGAACGTCATTATCTTATATATATATAGATATATATATATATATATATATATATATATATATATATATATATATATATATATGAACATTTCTCCGATTTAACCAGTAGAGAAATATTTATGAATAAAATGACAATAGAAAACTGGTAATTGCTGACGCGTTTCGTCAATGTGGACTTTATCAAAATTAATTGAAAAATAAAAAACAAAAAACAGAATGTTTTAGCAACTGGAATGTAGAAACGCTATTTTCATATTTTTAACTGAAAAATAATGTTACACGTGACAAATACTGACGTTATTTTCAGTTAAAATATGAAAATAGCGTTTCACATCCCAGTTGCTAGGTACATTTTTTTGTTTTATTAGTTATGTTTCAATTAATTTCATTTTCCTATTTTGCTTTGATAAAGTCCACATTGGACGAAACGCGTCAGCAATTATCAGTTTTCCTATTGTCATTTTTATTCATATATATATATATATATATATATATATATATATATATATATATATATATATATTATTTTTTCTTCGAGTTATATTCTCAATATATTATTTTCTCTTCGAGTTATATATGCTATTTATTTTAGTTGTTGCCGCTGTTGGAAGTCTTCAGGTGATGTGGTTTCTGTTATTTGTCACAATTGTCGGAGAAAGTGCCGTTTGGCCGGATGTGCTTTATCACTCGACTACGAAGAGTGTACAGCAAGGCTCTATTTTCCCTTTCAAGGAAAGTACATCCCCCTCACTAATATATTTTTCTCGAAAGCCCATATCTGTCAGTTTCATATCCGAAACGTAAACAAAACAATTTCTAAAGAATTAATACACAGGTTTTAAAATAAAACTAAAAATGGGGAGGGTCTGTTTCAAAGAATACGAATATCCACTCTAAGAACGTTTGAGGTGATATATGTGTGTACGTATTTATACTTTAAATCCAGCTACAGCTTAACTCCTTTACGTTTGAGAATATCGAAATACAATAGAAATAAATAAGTTCTTTATTTTTCTGTCATCACCCTAAATTTTCTTTCTCTCTCTCCTCATATCTCTCTCTCTCTCTCTCTTTCTTTCTTGTAGTGTTTCTTTTTTCTTCTATTTCTCTGTCTCATTACTTGATTATTTCTTTATGTTTCTCTCTCTCTCTCTCTCTCTCTCTCTCTATCTATCTATCTATCTATCTATCTCTGCTCTCTCTTCTCTCTCTCCCCCTCTCTCTCTCTCTCTCTCACACACACACACACACACACACACACTTTCTGCTTTCTCTTTCTTCTCAAAAAGATACCAATACGATTTTAAATTGAATCGTGGGAAATACACTGATTTTCACTTCACAGATCAAACATTGGCAATATCTCTTCTCTATGCACCGCACATCTCACTTTGGATAACAAAAGAAGGCAAAATCGATTATTGATTCCGAGATCAGTACATGCTGAGCGCCTGATCCAGGGCTCAAATCGTCTTGGATCAAGTTGAAACGAGATTAATCTTGGTCGAGATTGTTCAGGTGGCCCTATTCGCGTCGAAGAACTCAAAATATCGACAAGGAACCCCTGTAAGGTCAAGCAGATTAACTCTTTTCTTTTTGGCCCTGACTTGTGTGATCTCTCATTTAAACCAATCGCCAGAGAACATCACAATCACATGCAAATAGAAGCATCAGGTCGACCTCCTCGGCATTCCAGCCTCAACTGCCATCCACTTCACTGCTAAGAACTACTTACTCGATTCTTGAAGATCAGACAATGTAGTCCGTATGACGAAGGATCATCTCTCTCTCTCTCTCTCTCATGCACGCACGCTCTCTCTCTCTCTCTCTCTCTCTCTCTCTCTCTCTCTCTTTATATCACGACCTTTCGGTCTAGGTTTTCTTTGGCTTTCCTTGGAGACAAGACGAATCCGGTAATATTCAATTTGTTTAATTTTTCTTTTCTTTTAACTGAATTCATTTATTCTCATTCTTTCGATGTTTTTTCTTTGTTTCTACTTTCTCACGAACCTTACAGATACATTCTCTCATTTTCCATTGATTCTCTTACGCTTTCATACACTCTAGCCATTTTCCCTTTCTCATTATTCATTTTCTACTTGTGTATTCTTCTATCTATCTATCTATCTATCTATCTATCTATCTATCTATCTATCTATCTCTTTCCATATCTAGCGAGCTCTATTTATATAATCTGTCTCTTTATAAGATCTCTTTTAATATTTCTTTTTATATTTATATATGTATGTATCTAATTATCTATATATCTCATATGTATTTGTTTATATCTATCTGCATATTTATTCATGTATGCTCATTGATATAAATAGTTTCTCATATCTATCTCTTTATGTATATATATATATATATATATATATATATATATATATATATATATATATATATATATATAAATGAGAAGCCACGTATACTTTCTTAATATGTATATATAGAGAAAACAACTAAAAGTTGCAAATTAAAAACAATAATGTTTTTATGAAAGTATTTATTAAAGTATTTACTTTCATAAAAAACATTATTATTTTTTTAATTTGGAACTTTTTAGTTGTTTATACTATATATATATATATATATATATATATATATATATATATGCATGGATGTCTTTATATCTATCGCTTTTAACATTCATCTATCTATTTATATGTCTGTCTCTTTATCAATCTAGCTCTCTGTTTATTTATCTATTTATCTATCTATTTTCTTTTCATAGCTATCTATCTGCCTGTCTGTCTGTATTATTGTCTATCTTTTTTAATATCTATCTATATTTCTCTATCTACCCATCTATTTATTTATCCATTTAATATCTAGCTAGCTAGCTATCGCTTTTAATATAGTTTTATCTATTTCATTATCTTTCTCTTCTCAGTCTCTTCGCTATCTATCTATCTATCTATCTATCTATCTATCTATCTATCTATCTATCTATCCTTGTTATTATGTCTTTCCCTTGGAGATATTATTTGAATCCATCAAGCTACCCAATCCACATGTGTATAAGAGCTGACAAAGAACAGTCATAACTAGATGATGTACATTATCGCAACGAGATACAAATATTTCCAGATCGCTCTTAGGTAATTAAATGAAAGTTTAATATCCAAATGAGTGGAACATATACGTATATATGTATGATGTACGAGCAAAAGTTTAGGTCATCTGGACTTTTTCTGCTGCAAGTTGTTTAATTACAGTAGACATTGTAAAATAGACTGATTCAGAGTTATAATTAGTAAGTTCATCCATGATCAAATTCCGCCAAATTCATAAAATATATGTGTCAGGTGCTGCCAAAACGTTCACGGAATCTGCTGATTTTTTGAAATAATTACTTTCATTAACAAACTAGTTTCCAAAGTTTCCATCGAAATATTTATTTTAGGCATGCATAAAACCTAGAACTTTTTCGAAGATGCGATGCAAAAGTCAAATATTGCATTCGGCTCCCAACTTCAGAGTAGATTCATCGAAAAATGTTGTATAGGAACTTTTTATATATATATATATATATATATATATATATATATATATATGTGTGTGTGTGTGTGTGTGTGTGTGTGTGTGAGTATATATATATATATAAAAGTGAACATAGAAGGTCTGACGATTGCATATAGCATGAAACAGACTGTCGCCTCTAAGTGTTGACTTCTATGTTCACTTTTATATTTACACACGCTCTATCTCTGATATTGAGCACTTTATTCCATAAATATAGCACACCTTAAGACTATATTTCTTTATATATGTATATATATATATATGTGTGTGTGTGTGTGTGTGTGTGTGTGTGTGTGTGTGTGTGTGTTTGGTATGTGTGTGTGTGTGCGTGTGTGTGTGTGAACCAGCCGAATTACCCAGGCTTTGCTGCGTGTCACACTATTTGTAAAAAATTAATGATAGATTTTAAAAAATTGTTACAATCTGTGGAGAAAAATGATGTATTTCAATATTGCTCAATGATCTTGTCGATGTGATCTCCATCTTCTGGCTTTCTCCTATATTTAGGATAGGAATAATCGCTTTGTTCAAATTTAAATCAAAGGGAATAGTTTTCAGTGGGTGGTTTGTGCAATAACAGTTTGATCTGTCCCCACTGATATGTATTTGATGCAATACTTGAAGCAAATTTCAACATTGATATGACAATTGCATTGTTGCAACAAATATGTATTATAAGGCACTTCCTACTGATTGGTGAATCTTTGGTTCAACATGACGTCCATATTGTCTCATTTTGAATTTACTGATGTGAACTCCATCTTCTGGGTTTCTTTCCTTCTATATTTTGGATAGCAGTCATTCCTGTGTTCAAATTTAAATTTAATGTAAATCAAAGGGAAAAATGTTCAGTGGAGGTTGTGAAGGGACCCCCTTTAATCAAAATAAAATATCCTTATCCAAGTACACTGGATAATGTAGTTTCAGAATATATAGGATATCGGGGTCTATCTCCAAAACCGTAGGAGAATTTCGATAACAAACAGAGGCTACAACTTATATATATATATATATATATATATATATATATATATATATATATATATATATATATATATATATATATATATATATAGCACGACTCAGAGTTTCACGTAAATCTAATCTTTCAGGTTCTGACTATATGCGATATATATATATATATATATATATATATATATATATATATAGATAGATAGATAGATAGATGGAAAGAAAGATTAATGTATATTCGAGCAGTAAACTTTCTTTTAAACATCTTTCGTTAAATATGACGGACAAAGAAAATTTCATTAATTTTTTATTTAGTTTTTCCAGCGTTCCTAGATTGTTTTGTTTGTTGGGAATAAGGAAATGAAAAAATTGTCCATATTGTGGGAATCACTTACATGTGCCACATCTCCGTTTTCTTTATTGTCATTGGATCGAAACCTTGTTGATTTGGCATCACTCGGAAAATCTGCCCTAAGCTATTGGCGCACGGTAGAGGGGAAGGTGAATTTTAGCGTATTTATTTTTAAAGAAACACACCAGTGACCTAAAGAACTCAATTCATTTGGAAAGTCATATATATATATATATATATATATATATATATATATATATATATTTATTTTATAAAAAAAATTAATAACATAAATATGTTAAAAATCACTACAGAAATAGCCATTTTGTAGTGATTTTATAGCATATTTATTATAATTTTTTTTTTATAAAAAATAATTATATCTGCTCTACTTTGTATTGAGCACTCTTTTAAGAATAATAATTGTTGGTTATTGGAATTCATTCCGTATACACCAATTATATACGAGAGAGAGAGAGAGAGAAGGAGAGAGAGAGAGAAGGCACGGAGGAGTAATGGATAGCGGCTTGGATTGAGGAATCGGGGAGGCAACCTTACAGCGGTGAGAAAGTGATTGAAGCCGAGATGCCAGATCAGGACCAATAATATGATAGCTGATTCTTCTTTGAATCTATCAAAGACCTTTAGATAAATAGAAGAAACACCGGACTATATTTGACAGCAATATTCTTAGCATGGCCGAATGGTAAACTAGAATCTTCAGGGCATGAAGAATACGTTTAAGCATGTCTGTTTGACTGTGACCTTTCAGTGTTAACCTCAATGTAAACCTTATATTTTTACATACACTCTATCCTTGATATTAAGCACTTTAACCCATAAATATAGTATACCTTAAAACTATATTTTTATCATCATTATATATATATATATATATATATATGAAGAAAAATATATGGAAAAAACAAACAAAAATCCTAATATGCAATTTTGTTTGTTTTTTTCCGTATATTTTCTTCATATCTATATCCATATCTATATACATATATATATATATATATATATATATATATATATATATATATATATATATATATATATATATATATATATATATATATATGTGTGTGTGTGTGTGTGTGTATATATATATATATATATATATATATATATATATATATATATATATATATATATATATATATATATATATAGTAATGAAATCAGTATTTCTGTGACTTAATAATTAATAAAGTATTTATTTTACAGAAGAAACATTTAATTTTCAACAGAATCCCCTCTCTCTTGAATGCAGTTTAAGAAATGCTTCTCCGTTAATCCAGCTAACAGCTTAGTCCATCAACCTATGGATCCACTCCCGTTCGCGCGCTAATGCGCGTATGTATATGTGTGTGTGTGTGTGAGTGTGTGTGTGTGTGTGTGAGAAGCATTTTTTAATGCAATGTCAATCGCTATCTACTGTCATCCTGATTACTGTTTTCTCTTTTCGCTCAGTATTAATGTTTCTGTTCCTAATTCTTCCACACCCAGTAACTCCTTGTGTCATAGTGACTTTACTGCCTTTCATGGGGTGAAACCGATAAAGAAAATCATTCAGCTTATAGAGTGACATTCGATAGCCAACAAATATTAATAAATTGTCTTTGTTTAGTTAATGCATGCACCGCCCGACTTTGCAACGTCCACAAAAACGAAGGACTTCAGAATTTGACCAATTTAACCATATTTGACAAACTCGAAACGTTTGCATTAGACTGTCAACGAATTTAGTCTTTAAAATGCATAGGAAATTGCCTTCCATTTTGTTTTTCATTCCCAAAACGAAAGTAAGGAGATAAAATTGACGAAACAAACAAACAAAACAGAATGCAGCCGATCAATATTATTGATTTTGATTGCTAAACGCACTTATTTCATGTTGATGCCTGTTGCGAAAGGCATTAACCCCCAAACCCTACCGAAGCGCTACACCTGCCTTTAGGAATAAAGGCAAATCCACACAGAGTGTGCCGTGATTTTATACATTAAAAATGTATTTCCTATCCGCATGTATTTCTTGCTGGCGTCTGTGTGCATGTACCTGAAATGAGAGTATAGTGTATGCATTTGACAATATCTTTATAATAACCCAAATATGGGTGTATGCAAATACGAGAGTGGCGTATATATTGAGTATATCTCTATAATAATCCAAATATGTATTTATGCAAATGAGAGTGAGGTGTATACATTTGAATATATCTTTATAATAATCCAAATATATGTTTATGCAAATGCGAGTTTGGTGTATGCATTTGACTATATGTTTGTAATAACCTAGATATGTATGTATGCAAATGTGATTGTGATGCATGTATTTGACTATATGTTTATAATAACCCAAATATGTGTTTATGCAATTATGAGTGTGGCGTATACATTTAAATATGTCTTTATAATAACCCAAATATGTGTTTATGCTTCTGAGTATATCTTTATAACAATCCAGATATATGTGCACGCAAATGTGTCATTGTATGCAAAAGTGTATGTATGTTAACATGTGTGTCAACATGTGTTGACATATGTGTTTGTAGGACTGGCCTAGTTCAAATCTCGGTCGATTCAGCAAAACAATGAATATTTTTACTCAGAATCAGTAGAAGGCAGCCCGAAATTCATTGGACACATAATGAGGCAGAAGAGTTAAGAAAAATGAACCCTCATGTGTCATGTTGAGGGCAAGATTGTTTTGTTGGTTTACCGGTAGATCAACTTCTTTATGGGTCATTTAATGCCGAAATTTAATTTCCTTTGGAGCACTTAAGCAAAAAAAAAAAAAGAAATATGAAATATGTTATTCTGTTTCCACAATTGGTAGATGACATTCAGCTGTTGTGTATATATATGTTTGTTTGTGTGGACATGATTACTAGAGGCGGGGATATGTTTGATTTATGTTTTAGTTTTGTTGAAGTTATATTTGAGAATACAGTTTGATTTGAATTGTAGGATATAATATGGATTAATGTCATGTGAGTTTTTCATGTTGGTTCTTTGGTTGGTTGATTTTGTTTTGCGGCATATCGACATCTACTTGGACACCTCCATATGGTGTAATCGTTAGCAAGCTTGAGTCGTTAGAACAATTAGGACTGAATAGTGAGTTCGATCCTTACTGAGTTCCTCATACTTTCGGCCTTGTGCCACATCTAAGCTAAAACTTAGAAAATCACCATATCAACATCCATGGGTTATTTAATGCCGAAATTTAAATACTTTCAATCCAATCTTATGATTTCAACTAAATATTTTTGGAACGCAATTGTATGCCTACAATTACAGATAAAATATATTATTGGTCATTTTGCTATAAAATGTATTGTTGGTAATTCTTCTATGTCTAATATAAAATGTATTGTTGGTCATCTTGCTATAAAGTGTTGCTGGTAATTCTACTATAAAATGTATTATTGGTCATTTTGCTATAAAATGTATTGTTGGTAATTCTTCTATGTCTACTATAAAATGTATTGTTAGTCATCTTGCCAAAAAATGTTGCTGGTAATTCTACTATAAAATGTATTATTGGTCATTTTGCTATAAAATGTATTGTTGGTAATTCTTCTATGTCTACTATAAAATGTATTGTTAGTCATCTTGCCAAAAAAAAATGTTGCTGGTAATTCTACTATAAAATGTATTATTGGTCATTTTGCTATAAAATGTATTGTTGGTAATTCTTCTATGTCTACTATAAAATGTATTGTTAGTCATCTTGCCAAAAAATGTTGCTGGTAATTCTACTATAAAATGTATTATTGGTCATTTTGCTATAAAATGTATTGTTGGTAATTCTTCTATGTCTACTATAAAATGTATTGTTAGTCATCTTGCCAAAAAATGTTGCTGGTAATTCTACTATAAAATGTATTATTGGTCATTTTGCTATAAAATGTATTGTTGGTAATTCTTCTATGTCTACTATAAAATGTATTGTTAGTCATCTTGCCAAAAATGTTGCTGGTAATTCTACTATAAAATGTATTATTGGTCATTTTGCTATAAAATGTATTGTTGGTAATTCTTCTATGTCTACTATAAAATGTATTGTTAGTCATCTTGCCAAAAATGTTGCTGGTAATTCTACTATAAAATGTATTATTGGTCATTTTGCTATAAAATGTATTGTTGGTAATTCTTCTATGTCTACTATAAAATGTATTGTTAGTCATCTTGCCAAAAATGTTGCTGGTAATTCTACTATAAAATGTATTATTGGTCATTTTGCTATAAAATGTATTGTTGGTAATTCTTCTATGTCTACTATAAAATGTATTGTTAGTCATCTTGCCAAAAAATGTTGCTTGGTAATTCTACTATAAATGTATTATTGGTCATTTTGCTATAAAATGTATTGTTGGTAATTCTTCTATGTCTACTATAAATGTATTGTTAGTCATCTTGCCAAAAAATGTTGCTGGTAATTCTACTATAAAATGTATTATTGGTCATTTTGCTATAAAATGTATTGTTGGTAATTCTTCTATGTCTACTATAAAATGTATTGTTAGTCATCTTGCCAAAAATGTTGCTGGTAATTCTACTATAAAATGTATTATTGGTCATTTTGCTATAAAATGTATTGTTGGTAATTCTTCTATGTCTACTATAAAATGTATTGTTAGTCATCTTGCCAAAAAATGTTGCTGGTAATTCTACTATAAAATGTATTATTGGTCATTTTGCTATAAAATGTATTGTTGGTAATTCTATTATAAATATGTATTTTTATACTTTCATGCTGTTTTGTTTTTGTTGGGGAGGTACTATTTGCTCATAGCTGGAACCCTGCCACCCAGAGTCTGGATGAACCTGGGAACAACAACAATTAAAAGGTGGTTCCACGCTTTTCAAAACCTTCAATCTCCCGATCAGAGTCCTTGCTGCCGAGTTTAGTTTATTGTCAGACTATTAAGGGCAATAGATAGGCGAGGGAACGAGCCACTTTCCTGACGAGCTCCTGTAAATGAATAGTGGAACGGGGGGCAGGAGCCTTAACAGAGAGAAAAAAGACTGCTAAGAGCCACACAAGATAGGAGGTTTTGGAGACACATGATCGCCTATGGCCTGAAGGGAGGTGGTGTAAATTTGGCAGGTTGAGAGAATAAAGGTACCATAAAATTAAGCCAATATTTTATATGAATTTTAATTTTTACTGTGCTCCTGTGTATCAGTACGAGCAATCAACCGGGAACTGCAGTCAAAATATTTGAAAACTTCATGCCACTATCATCAACACAAACATCACCCACACCACCGCCATCATGTTCCGAAACAACACTAAAAGAACCAATCTCCGTTATCATCAACCCTATGTAAAACCACTACCAACCTTTCATCATCATCAAAACAGCACAATGACCCCGTCTCTTCCACACTACCGCTCTCATCTTCAAAACTGATGCTACCATTAACTATTCCAACACTATCTTCCGTAACCTTGCTTCGATTGACTATCTACGCCATCACTACATTTCTGCTTTTATCATTATCAGCACACTTCACCTCCGCTGTAATTACCATTGCTCCCAACACCACAAACAGCGTCCTAACCGTCACCCAAACCACTTCATATTCCCGCCTTTTCTCCCATAAAATGCAGCGGGTATTGTTAACGACATGCATCCCTCTTCCTCGCATAGGACATTCAGCTCTCCACACTTAGCCAAACCGACATTGTTCCCAGCAAAGAAAAGAATGAGCTAAACATAACGAACGGCTTGCAAAGATAGGTCTAGATGCAAAGCTGGGGCGCGTCTCGGGAGGGCGGTGGATGGATGCATCAGGGTGAAGTAATTTGCTGTGGAGTGGCGTAAAGGGGACTAAAAGGAGAGAGGCAATTGCTGTTAGGGAACGAAAAATGATCCCATTTCTTCGAGTATAAATCACTAGAGCGTCATTCGGATTGAGGTGACTATGGAGAGAGTTAAAAGAAGCCAGATAAAAGGAAGAGGAATGTTTGGATCTTACCAAACCTTTCGACTTTTTCTAAGCGTTAATTTTTTTTTTTTTTCTTATTATTGCTTTTCATATTTCTTATTTTCTTTGTTCTTTCTCCCTTGCTCTTTCCCTTTCGTTCTCTCTATCGATCGATTGATCAATCTCTGCGTTTATATTGATATTTCTTCTTGCCCTCTCACTTGCTCATTCTGATTATCTCTTCTTCTTTCTCTCTTTTTTTTCTTTCTTGCACATTTCTTGTTCACGTTAAGTAAAGTCTTTCTTTCTTTCTTTCTTACTTAAATATTGGTTCTTTCACATTTCTCTCTCTCACTCTCTCTGTCTCTGTCTGTCTGTCTGTCTGTCTCTTTCTCTCTTGTTAAACAATATTTACTTATGTGGTTCTTTCTTTTCTCTTTCTTTCTTACTATTTGCATCCATTTCTTTCACTTTTCTTTCTCTCACTGTTTCTTTTTTTCTTATTTTTTTCTTTCATATTCGTTCTTTCATATTTCTCGCTCTCATTAACATTATTTATTTGGTTCTTTTTCTGCCCCTCTCTCTCTCTCTCTCTCTTTCTCTCTCTCTCTCTCTCTCTCTCTCTCTCTCTCTCTCTCTCTCTCTCTTTCTCTCTCTCTCTCTTTCTCTAAGTCTTAATTCTATGTTTTTCTTTCTTTCTTATATTAATCTGTTCACGTTTCTCGCCTTCGTTAACCAATCTGTATTCATTTGATTCTTTCTTTTTACTTCTTCCTCTCTTTCTGTCTTCATCTCTCACTTTCCTTCTTTCTTTCTTTCTTTTTTTTCTTTATATTGTTTCTTTCATGTTTCTCGTTTTTGTTAACCAATATTCATTCATTTGATTCTTTCTTTTTCCTTCTACCTCTCACACTTCATATCGCCTTTCCTCTCTCTTTCTCTCTTTCTTTCTTTCTCCTTCCCTCTCAATTATATTGGTTCATTTTTTCTTCGTTCTCGCTCCCTTTCTCTCTCTCTCACTCTCTCTCACTCTCTCTCTCACTCACTCTCACTCACTCTCTCTCTCTCACTCTCACTCTCTCTCACTCTAGGTTATCTTTTCTTCATTCTCTTCGTTTTTCATTCATTTATTTACTAGCTATTTATGTAACCCGTGTTATCACGAGTAGAAATGCTTCAAAACTTTCATTCAGTCTGATGATTACATGCAATAATTACGGTTGTATTTTAACACAAGTTGGATTTAAATCCGTTAAACGGTTATAAGGCTTTTACTTTCTCTATCGTAACACACGAACTTTAACCGGGGATTCTCAGTAACCAGGGATTAAAAGAAGAATAAAATGGCTAGTCGCCGGGGGGGGGGGGATTGCTCACTAAAAAATAGTTTGCTCCCCGTGAAAATGATATGAACTAATTTTAGCTTGCTCATTTTTCGAGTTCACCCCAAGCAAGGCAGTACAGCCACTGAGATACAAGAGGTTAACGGGTGCAGAAGAGTTAGATACAGGAACATTGATAAGAATCGGGAAATATAGAAAAGAAATAATGTCTCCTATATAAACTATTAATCGAACACATATCCAGCTTGATAATATTTCACTTTCCTTGGTACATATTGGTCAAGAATGAATTCTCTTATTGTAAATCATAAAAAAGGGATTCTTCCTTTTTATTTATGACTTTTTTTCAAAACTGTGAACCAGTCGATCTTACCTTAACTCGGTATTATAATTCATATAGATGCGTTAGCATTAACTTGCGCCCTCTCATATTTGCGCCCCGCTGACTTAAGGACCGCATCTCCCAATTCAAATGGCGACAAACCTGAGAATAAGGCTCGAATATCCTTTTCATCGTGTCCATTTTGTACTCCCCAATTATTCTTTTTTTACATAGTTTTCCGTCTTCTTTTCTTTCCTTTTTCCTTTTTCTCTCTCTCTCATTCTCTCTCTCTGTCTATCTGTCTCTCTCACACTCTCTCAGTTCTTTAGATTGTTCTCTGTGTGAATTTACTCACATTTTCTCTCTTCCAAGAAGCAAACTGCAAAGTATTATTTTGCGAAACACTCATAATTTTTCAAACTTGATTGTCTCAACATAAAATGATGTTTGGCGAGTTGGTCACGCATGCCATTAATATTGTACTAACTTCAATCACCACAATGGATGCATGCACATTTGTAACCTTGTGCCATACTTAGCTAATTTAGAAAATATTGTTAAGTTTTTTTTTTCTAATGCCATCTCCCTTCAGGACGTGTGCTATCAATTATTTTAACAGATAGCTTTATCTGGAAAGGACCATGACTTTTGTTGAAAGTGGAGTAGTTTCCAACGCGTTGCTTTCTTCGCAGTTTCGAAATCTGCAATACCCTTCCCAGAGTCTGGCAGTCGACCAAGGTTAGATAGCCCTGTCTATTCTGTTATATAGCCTAGATGTGGGGTGATAAGAAATGGATTCATTCCTCTTCTAAGGAGATTAGGGCAATAGTCTAGACCTGAATATGAACTCGGCTCTTCAGTTTACAGCAGCCCTTTTTTATTCCAACCACTCATCTCTTATTCCGACTATTTCACTCTTATTCTGACCACCCTTCTATTCTTCCAACCACCCCTCTTATTCCAACCACCTTGCTCTTATTTCAACCATCCTTCTCTTATTCCAACCACCCTTCTCTTATTCCGACTACCGTTCTCTTATTTTAACCACCCTTCTCTTCTTCTAACCACCCTTTTCTTCCAACCACCCCTTTTATTCCAACCACCCCTCTCTTATTCCGACTACCGTTCTCTTACTTTAACCACCCTTCTCTTCTTCTAACCACCCTTTTCTTCCAACCACCCCTTTTATTCCAACCACCCTTCTCTTATTCCGATTACCGTTCTCTTACTTTAACCACCCTTCTCTTCTTCTAACCACCCATCTCTTCTTCCAACCACGCCTCTTATTCCAACCACCCTTCTCTTATTCCAACCACCCCTCTCTTATTCCAACCACTCCGCTCTTATTTCAACCATCCTTGTCTTATTCCAACTGCCCTTCTCTTCTTCTAACTACCCTATCTCTTATTCCAACCACCCCGTTCTTATTCCTATCCCACCGTTTTTTGTTTTTTTTCGTGGGAACTTCCTAGAAAAAAAAATGATTTCAGGCAGATTTTCAAACTTCGTTCAAATTATAATTCATTCAATTCTAAAAATTAATTCCAATCATAACAAATCAAAATATTTTAGTCGTGTAACAGGCCGGCTTTCATGATTAATATATTTTTTTTTTTTTTTGATAATTTAAAAATATCGCTGAGAAAAAAAATATTTGGAGGGCTTGACAAGCGCGAAACCTTCACATTATTCATACCTTTTCTCAATCCGTTCATGGCTATTTCGAACAACGCACGACGATCCGTGAAGACAAGAATAACAAATGAAGGTCATGAGAAACACATTTTGCAACTTTTTATGTATGTTTTTTAATCATTTCGCCCAGGCAATGAAACACAGCCACTAAGATGCCAGAAATATGTGAAAGAATATGAGAAAATGAAAAAAATACTATTAAAGAGAGAAAATAATAAAAAAACAAAAAAAAACGAAAAAATAAAGAGGAATTAAGAAGACAGAAGATACCGATTGACAATACGTTTACATTTTGGAAGATCAAACTTGAGAGAAAAGCAAGAGGCCGGGGTTAGATTTCCACAAGTGAGAAGTGCGAGAGTAGAAACTGTTAGCATAGAACTTACGGTTACAATTTGTCATTTCAAATATAAAATGATGAGACCTTGTACTGCGTTTAAATTAGTAAAGTCGAGGTGCCAATGAGTAACGTAATATTTATTTTGTTTTAATACAAAAATGTGGCAGAAGTCCAAAAGGGTCATACGGAGAGGTTGGTCTTCAATCTCTCTTATCTTAAATTAGCTAGCCACGATTACTGACCGAAGCATACTACAGTATTCTTTACACCAAAACAATTCCTTACTTACCATTCTTACTACAGTCACTATAATACCGCAAAGTCTCTTTGTAGTACTAACTAGTTCCTATATGTACAATTTGTCTGTGGAGCGGGGACAAAATAACGACATACCAAAGAGGAAAGTTCATCAAAAGAATTATCATGAAAATATTTATAGAAAATGCACAAGCTACATTAAAACGGTGGAAAAGTGACTGGAGCCGGTATGCCAGATCATACCCGATGCCAGAACCAATAAGATTGTAAATTCTTCTTAAGATTTATATCATTTTTAGTAATTTGTTTTAAATCCCTATAAATAATTTTCTGTACATGTTCATACCCGGCTTAAAATTAAATAAACTAAATTCAAAATTAATCTGAGGCATACACCTCAGAGAAAATAATTCAAGAATTTAGAACAATTTGAAATTTAACGAGAGGGTTGAAAATCCATGCTCGCTTATTACAAACGGGTTTATTAAATTTTTATTCACCCCGTCACCGCATTTTTATTCAAGACTGAAAGGACAATATACTCACGGGAAATCTACAGCTTATTGCTTAACAGTAAAAGAACGATTCAATGTGGGGACGTTGACAAAATAGAATCAATGCGAAGGCGAATAATGGACACTTTGTTTCTTATTTGTTTCTCACGAGTAAAGGTAACACTGCAGGTTGACAACAAAGGTCGCCAGTTTGTATCTATGTTATTTATTAAATTTATTGTATATATAAGACATCATGTCTCTTTTCTCGTTTCAAGAAAGGAGAAGAAAACATTTATTTAACTGTTCGAAATTGACTTGCTAGATTTTAAGCCAAATCTTCTAGGTTCGAACTTTTCATTTGACGTTCGAAGACATTTTGACTAGTATAAATTGATTCATTGGCATCATCTTTTATCGCTTTTTGTGTCCAGATGCAACAGCGAACTAGAAGGCAATAAACACCAAAGACGAGGAAATGATGATCAACTTCACGAGAGCGTCTTTCGGCTCCTTCTTGGTCTCACGTTTTCCATTGAACTGAGGTGGAACAACTACATTGAATCAATAGCAGCATCTACTGCAAGGAAAGCTGGTTCTATGTGTCGCACCAGGTTTTCCTCGTTTGAGGCCAGCCTTCAAATCTACCATTCGGCCTTGCATTGAATACTGTTGCCATATACGGTTGGTGCCCCCACTGTTGATCTGGATGTTCTCGACAAAATCCAAAGACGTGATGTGGCTTCCCTCTGTCTTTTCTACAAAAAGCATCATGGCAACTGCTCTGGCGAGCTATTTTCACTGGTACCCCAACGGTATGAATTTAAGCGTGCTACTAGGTTGGCATCTTAGTCCCACCCTTTTACTGTCGAAACAGTTAAATGTAACAGCCTTTCTTACTCCAATAGCTTCTTCTCTCAACATTGAAACTCTATTCTTCTTACTTGTTTGCTTCCCTGATAACTATAATCTTCAAAAATTTAAAAGTTGTTGACCATGTTCACCATAATATATGAATATAGAATACAGCGCAGTACGTAATCTGTTCAATGAAACAACGTTAAAGATTAACACTCACGAGTCAGACACTCTACTGAATCTGACTATATCGCCAATACCACCAGCAGCTGTTCCATGATTCTTCAGTCTTCGATATCAAAGGCTGACAGTGATATTTAGTCACCCCCCTCCCACGAAGGTTACATGTGGCACAAGGCCGGGATTAACGTGGGATCTCAGAGCCCGTAGACTCGGCCAAAAATATTCCCTATTCGAATGTGTATAAACGGGTTCAGGGGCAGTCAACCTCCCCGAACGAGAATCTGTCCTTCGGCGGAGTCTCGTCCGGGTTATCAAAGGCTGGCAGTGTATATTCGAGAAAAACATGGCCGCCTTTATACACGTCGCATTGAATATTTTGAGCCTTCTGATTGGTTAACCCTTCTATTGGTGAACTATAAAATGAGTCAGCTCATTTTGGCTGGCTCACTAGTACACCAGGGTACGCAAAAAATCCCAACAAATGTAATGTCAATCGACTTTTGCTTGATCTTGATCCCCGTCTTTCTTTTTATCCTTTTCCTCAGACACCCCACTTTACTCTTACTTTTACTCTCTGTAACCCCCTCTGCGTACTAGTGGCATTCCCGCCTTCCTTGGGGTTAAATGCTTAAAAAAATCAATCAACAGTTAGGATATTTAGAAAGTATGACGTGGGTATGACGTGAAACCACAACGCCTTAATCGGGAGGTTTTGAGGAGCGTGGAACAACTGCTTAACTTCTGTTGTTCCCAGGTCCACCCTGATCCTGGGTATTAGCACCTGTTAGAGTCCAAGCTATGAGCAAATAGTCAACACCCGAACTAGGGTCAAAACACTACTGAAATATAAAAATACATTTTTATAGTAAAAATAACAGCAATACAATTTTGAAAAAAAGAAAAATATTACCAGCAGTTCATTTGACAAAAAACTCTCTTTACACAAATGCATCAATGAAACCTGATGTAAAAATTGATTTCTTATAAATAATACATATTCTATTCATACGAACCTATCCTAAAATTCTTGTCGGCATTTATTAAACCATTTAGGTTGATAAGCCGTAAAACAAAATAAACCAAACCAAAATGTCGCAATAGACATTATAACCTCTTGTTTTCTACATAGTGTCTGAATAAATATGAATATGCATTTTGGTGCATCACCGATAGCCAATATGAAACCTTTTCTCATAGCCGGTTGAATGTAGCAACACTCTTTGTTAAGAATACACGAAAGGAAATATTTTAGGATTTCTTTGCTGGAAACGGATGTAAGAGAGAATTCATATTTGCATTCGATTAATCAAATCAGTTTCCTCAGCTTAAGAATTTAATGTTACCGAATTAGTGATTAATTTTGTCATACTGATTATCTATATTAGTATCGGGTCATTTAGCATATGTTCAAGAGGGTGCTGAAAAGATCTCTGTCAGACCTACTATACCCAAATCCGAGGAAATGGCCGGGTCGAAAAATTATCATCAGTCTTTCATATGTATATGTGCGTGTGGTGATATATATATATATATATATATATATATATATGTGTGTGTGTGTGTGTGTGTGCGTGCGTGCGTGCGTGTGCATATGTGCGTGTGCGTATGTGTGTGTTGGGAGTGGGTGCGTTTGAGTATGTTGGGAGTGGGTGCGTTTGAGTATCAAGAAATCTTTTATGATGGATATTTTATTTTTTGTACATTTTTAAAATATTTCCTTGACTTCGTTGAAAATATAAATATAATTTTCCAATCTTTGAGTATTTTCGGCCTTCCCAATCCAACATCCACGCACATACATACACATATACGCACACACACACGTGTGTGTGTGTGTGTGTGTGTGTGTGTGTGTGTGTGTGTAATTAGACAGTAAGAATTCTTGCTAACATATTGAATTCAAACAAATCATGGCTGTTTCAACTAACTGACGCTTTCAGCCGAACTTAATAAAGCACGCACACATACACACGCACACACACTCATACACATATACACAAATACACGTACACACACGCACATACACACACACACACACACACACACACACACACACACATATATATATATATATATATATATGTGACGTGACGTGGTCCAGGGTTGATCCTTTGGTCACGGCACCATTTGTGACGTCGTCCCCCGGTCGCAGCGTCGACTGTGTCGTTCGATCCATTTCGCGGCGCCAATTGTGACGTCACGTGCTTCCCAGGCTCTGATATCCTGGTCACGGACAGCACCAGTTGTGACGTCTTTGCCGCGGCGTCAGCTGTTCGCTCCTCGCTGCTCCAAACGTGACGTTCTAACACTTTGGTTAGATTGATACCAGCC